TTTTTTTTTTTTTTTTACAAAAATGCTTCTCAGTTATGTTACATTTAAGAAGTGGGACATATACATATTCAAAACAACATCCAAGCAATCAGATATTAAGCAAATTCATATGAACCAATTTTCCAGAACCCACATTGTGAGAAAAATAACCTGATACAGGAAACCACTTTTCTACACATTTATTTATTTATTTTTAAAATTTATATCCCACACCTCCCTGCCGAGGCAGGTGGTATATTTCCATAGTGGGTGGGAGTGTGGCCAAAGGGCGGCCTCCCTGATGGATTAAAGTACCCTGGCCCTGCTTCTGCACCTGACAAACACCCGCCTGTCTGGTATAAAGTGGGATTGTGTTTAAAGGCATCGGGGAGGCTGGGACAGCAGCAGCGATAAGACAATCCTGCTAAGCAAGCCTCCCTGATGGCTTTAAGGACTCTGTGCTCCTTCCAACCCTTGACAGGCGGTTGTCTGTCAGGTGTAGGAGGGGTAGTGTGTCTGCATTGGGGAGGCTGGACCAGCAGGATTGGTAGAGCGATGCTGCTTGGGCACCCTCCCTGATGGCTTTCAGTACTCTGCTCCTGCACCTGACAGACACCCACCTGTCAGTTGGAGGAGCGGTGGGTGGGAGTGTGTCTAAAGCCTTTGAGGAGGCTGGCCTCACAACATTGCTAAGGTGTTTCTGTCTGGGCAGCCTCCCTGATGGATTAAAGTACCCTGGCCCTGCTCCTACATCTGACAGACACCTGCCTGTCTGGTGTTTGGGGGGGGGAGTGTATTTAAAGGCATTAAGGAGGCTGGGCCAGCAGCAGCATTAAGGCAATCCTGCTGAGCAAGCCTTCTCAATGGCTGTAAGCATCCCACTCCCTCTCCTACACTTAACAGGCAGCTGACCAGTCAGAGAGTGGGGGGTGCAAGGGTTCAACCTGGATGCTGATTTTATGGTGAGTGGACTTTCTTTTATATGTATAGATGAAACCTCTTCTGCTGTTCCAGAACATTTTAGTTATATCTAGGCTTGCCAGGTCCCCCAGTGGAGGTGGCAGCCCCCTGCCAACAGGCTTTGATCCCCTGCTGTTGATCAGCTGGCTAGCAGGGGGACTTACCTGGAGAAAGATAAAGGCCCAGGCCTCATCACCCATGTCAGAGAGGGAGTGACATCATCATGCCAGTGATGTCCAGGCAATGCTCTGGTATTTGGGCAAAAACTTTATGGTAGAAGCTGGTTTTACCACAGAGTTTTTGTCCAAATACCAAAGCATCTCCTGGTCATTGCTGGTGTGATGGTATCATTTCCTGTGTGGTGCTGGTGACAAGGCCTGGGCCTTACTCTTTCTCCAGATAAGTCCTCCCTCATCCCTTGCTGGTTGCCAGGAAGGACCTTGCAACCATAATTATACTAGAAATAAGAAAGCAAGAAGAATCATTTGTGTAATTCTTACGGTTGAAATGGAAGCCTCCATTTCAATCCAATCCATTTCAGTCCAAGCAAAAAAAGTGGGATGCTTTCTTCCAGTTTCTTTATTCTGCTCAAATATTACCACAGGGTGGCCGTTTGAGGAGGGACCCTCCAACGTTTACCTCTGTTCTAAACAGTGCACTTGGGTTTACATTCTGATGATCCTCACAAGGAATGTTTAAGCTCTACAGTTTGTTCTCAAGCACATCGTTACTATAAAGACTGGCAGTATATACTCTGGACGCTGCTTCTTGCCATACCGACTCCACGGAAGAGCTGATTTTTCAGCTCCAACCGAGTTTGCATGGTTATAAAACTGAGCAGTGGGGACGCTAGAAACTGGGGACAGACCAGTGCTTCTGTGCTTTATGGTGGGTGGTGCATAGCACAATTGTGAACATAGGAGTCAGACCATTGGATCTGTTAGACTTTTGCCAATGTAGCATATGTTACACTGGTGTCTACTTTGACTGGCAACAGCTCTACAGAGTTGCTGGCAGAGGACGGTATTTCTCAGTGCTTCCCATCTGAAATCCTTCAACTGAAGATGCCAAGTTTTCAGCCAGGGTCCTACTGCATGCAAAGCAGGTGCGCAACCACTAGTCTGCAGCCAGTTTTAAACCTGAGCAAAGGTGTAAATCTTTCCATCCTCTGCCTTACTGGATTTCCAGCTTCCTGACCCTTTTGCTGCAAATCCTGCGCGGACAAAAAGAAATCCTTCACACAGTGCATAGATATGGCATTTGTGATCTATGAGATATGATGGCCTTTGGTGTTAGGTGGCTCAAGGATTAGATAAATTCACGGAGGCCTGTCAGTGATTATCAGCCATGACAATTAAATGGAACTTGAATTCTTTAAGGTAGTTTACACCGGCATAGCTAGAGGGCTGTGGGCAAGGATATGGGGTGGGGCTCGATGTTGGCTGTAGCATCACACCACTTCTGGTTTAAAAAAAAAAGCTGGAAGTAAGCTAGGTAGCACTAGGAACCTTCTGGAATGCTATGGTAAAACTATAGAGTTTCCAGTGATTCCTAGAGCTACCCTATGTCACTTCTTTTTTTTAAAATGGAAATGTCATGACACAATATCCAGCATTGTGGAGTTTTAATTTTTTTCCCCTTTTGTCATCACTATGAGCAACAGTGGGCGAGGGGAGCAGGGAGTGGTGAATTCCCCACCCCAACCAGGGACTTGGCACCAATGTTCCCTCTAAGCTGTGAGTCTTGTGAGCAAAAATTCTACTTTGTGAGCTTCTGGCATTAAAGTTGTGAGTGAGCTATTTGGCTACTGCATAAATTAGTTTGCTCTGTAGCCATCTTTCCTGAGCTAAGACAAAAATGTGTGAGCCGGAGGCTAAAAACCTGTGAGCTAACTCACACTAACTCATCTTAGAGGGAACACTGCTTGGCACCCCTATGCATACCTGTTCCTGAGAGTCAACATTTATTTGGGTCTGTCCAGAGAGCTTGATGGGCAGTTAATCTGGGACAGACAAAAAGGAAATACTTCTTCCAACAAATCTTAATGAACTTGTAGATGGATGCGGTTGTCTCTGATAATCTGACAGTAATTGCAGGGTTGCCCTCCCCCAGATTTCATGGCTTCAGCCCGCTTCCAGCCAGCTGGCTGGTGGGGGAAACCTTGCCCCCAAACAGCCATGTCTCTGCGTGGCTTCCCCGACATGATGATGTCACCTGGAAGTTATGTCATCACACTGGGGACATCATGTGGGGATACTCTGGTTTGAAGTCAAAACTCTATGGCTTTAAGCCAGTTTTACCATAGAGTTTTGCCCTCAAACCAGAGTATCCCTGTGTGAAGAATTTTTGCTCTCAAGCCTCCACGGCTTAAAGGGAACATTGGTGGGGATACTCTGGTTTGAAGTCAAAACTTCTATGGCTTTAAGCCAGTTTTACCATAGAGTTTTGCCCTCAAACCAGAGTATCCCTGTGTGACGTCCCCGGTGTGATGATGTCACTTCTAGGTGACGTCATCACTTCAGGGACGTCCTGGAATGTCCCCCAAAGCCCCCTGCCAGAGCTACGAGGGGACCTGGCAACCCTTTTCTTGTGGAAAAGTAGATATTCAGACTGCAGTTAGAACTGTCCCCCTTCAACTGCGTGAAAAATCTTTGTGTTCCATTGGAATTCAGTAGGAACACCCCTCCCTTCCAGCATTGTGGTGAGACAGCTAGTGTGGGTTGAGCCCACAGAAATAACTTTTAGTGAAGGGGAGTTGAGGAGCATGGGAGCTGGAGACAAGGTTCAAGTCGGTCTTGCTGGGTTTGATACAAACCAGAGGGATGAAAAATGCAGACAGCCCAACCTGTGTTTGGAAGCAGGAGTTGCTTCATGCAATATTTCTTTAAGGTATATTGCAGAGAAAATATCACGTGCAGACTCAATGAGAGCCACTGATGTATGGTGGTTAGACTGTCAGGCTAAGATCTGGTAGACCCAAGTTTGAATCCATACTCTGCCATGGGAGCCTGCTCAGCCTAACTGATCTCACAAGGATGTTGTGATGATGAAATGGAGAAGAGGAGAACGAAGTAAGCGGCTTTGGATCCCCGTTGTGGAGAATGGTGGGGTATAAATGGAGTGAATTAGTAAATGTGTTTGCAAATGCTTATGTTACTAAGGTGTACTTGGCTAAAAGGCAGCCTTGTATGGAGCTTTTTGACGAGTCCATGATTGATGGCAAAATCGTGTAATGTGAGAAGCAGCCCTAAGTTCCATTCATTTCATTCGTGCTTGCTTCTGAATTTGTTTACATATACTCCAGCTCTCCCTATTTTACCAGAGAGGATCACATTTCTGGTACCTGTCCCTAATAAAACCATATTCTGTCCCTATTTTGTTTTGGGGAAAGATGTTGGGGAAATCCCCCCCCCCCAATGTCAGTATACACACTCTTGTTCTTCAGATTTCACCCTCCTCCCTCAGTCTCAAGAAGTGAAATCTTTACAAGAAGGGGGTGTACATCTTGATTGCAGTACTCATATAGGCGCACTCAAAACGTCAGTTCATTGCTTCCAGATGTTACTGCAGTATATGCTATTGCAGAGCAAGTGGAGAGACGAGCCTCCAGCTATGAGAAAGAGTGGTGGCAGCTTATTTCCCCTGTTCTCCTGTATGATGTAAGCTCAGAACTTGACGGGCAGCTGGATTTGATCGGTGGCATTCTGCCCCCTGTAGCCATCAGTGGTTAGACAGCTTCTGTGGTTTGATTACATGGGAATAGACTTTAGTGTGAGGAACGGCGAGGAAGGATGAGAGGGGTAGATAAGACTCAGATAGATCTTGGCAATCAGGAGATACCATCTAGCTTTGCAGATAGCACTTGGCCAGGTGAATGTTAGGGAGTTTCCTAGAGGGAGGGAGAGCCAGTTTGGTGTGAGAGCCAGTTTGGTGCAGTGGTTAAGTGCACGGACTCTAATCTGGGAGAACCGGGTTTGATCCCCCACTCCTCCACTTGCACCTGCTGGATGACCTTGGGCAAGCCATAGTTCTGTCAGAGGTGTCCGTGAAAAAGAGCAGTTTCTGTCAGAGCTCTCTCACCCCACCCACCACACAGGGTGTCTGTTGTGAGGAGGGGAAGGGAAAGGAGATTGTAAGCCACTCAGAGACTCCTTTGGGTGGTGAAGGGCAGGGTATAAATCCAATCTCTTCTCTTCTTCTTCTTATATAGGGCTTCCGATCAGTCAGCATGTCAGGATAGCAGGTATTCAAGGCCTGAGGGGAATATGGCCAATCAAGGCCTGAGGCCTGGTGCAGAGATTCAACTGTTTCCCATTCACCCTATGATGGATGAGTAACAAATGTTTTCACCCCAGGAACTGAAGAACCCAAGTTTTTGTCCCATGAGAGAATGAGCTTTCCCTTCCCGGGGGGACGGGGGACGGTAATAGCTACTTGGAAGCTGAACTGTGGGATGCTTGGCCATTTACCCAACTGTGCCCCGCTGTTAATTTTGGCTCTGTCTGCACCTGCTGTCTTCTAGTGGCTGAAACTCCTTTGAGCAGTGAGGTCTACTTTTGGTAAAAGCTGTACGGGCTCCAGAGCTCTTGAGACGTTAGGGCTGGCTTCCAAACATTTTTGAGTCTTCTGGCCTCTCTCTTTTGTCTCCCTCATCCCCCCTCTTTTAAAAAGGAAAAATCCCATCATTCATAACATGCTACTTGAACATAAATCCTCAAGGAGACACCTTGCTTTATTCATAATGTTGATGCTGCCAAAAGAAAAAGAAAAATGCAAGGGTAATTAAGAGCTGCAGCAGTGCTCTGGAGATTTTGGATTCTTCAGTCCAGCTGGAAACCAGAGACTAAAGAATTTAACAGTTTGATCTTCAGCACCCTTCAGCCCTCGAAAGTGTAAATTTAAAGCTACCGCTGACTGTCCAAAACCATCAAAATAGGGGGAACATCATGTCGTTTTGACACAGCTCGATCTCCAGCAACACAGTTCACAGCCTAGTTCTGCCATTGCCAGGGGTCCTTTCGTAGAAAAAGAGGTGCAGGAGCTCATTAGCATAACTTATTTGCATAACTTATTTGCATATGCCACACCCCCTGACATCACCGGAAGTGTGTCAGAAGGCAACACCCACTGCTCAGGCTCCACTGGACTGTTTTGGATTGCTAGCTATGGGGGGGGGGACGCACAGATCCTCATGCTCCTCGTGGCCTGGGGCTGCTGGGAGCAGGGGGCGGGGCTTGTTGCATGTGCCCGCCCCCTGGGCCCTTTACTGCCGGAGTTCCGCTCCTGTGCGCTCCTGCAGGAAATGACCCCTGGCCATTGCTTTTTCCTGTTCATTCGTTATGTTTGTAGCCTCATGACCCTTAATAAGGTTAAGAATGGTCACACGTGAGAGTAGTACATGCACTTGGAGAACATGAGTGATGTGTATTGGAACTGCACTTTTATCTTGTGCCAAGGAAGAGACCTGGCCACTTACATACTCTGTGATGCTCATATAAGGATAAGCTCTGCATTTAGGTGTAACATTAAGCTCGATTTGTAATTAGCTGACTGGTTTGCATCCATCTTTCCTGGGCATCCGGAGGGTTTCTGCTCACTGCTGTATTGAACCACTAAATGAATATTCTTTCATTTTTTTGTCAATAGGGCCCTGCAGGTCTGCCTGGGTTACCTGGACCACCTGGCAAGAGAGGCCCACGGGTAAGTAAAGGGTCTGTGGGAGGGTGTGTGTGTGGGAAACGATGAATAGTAAGTCTCCAATCCAAGAGGACTCTCAGTATTGTGGCAGTGCAACAAAGCTTGCACTGATAAATATTATATAGAGTCAGAAAAAGGTGAGAGAGATTTTGGGAAATAGGGGATTTCAGAGGCCATTTTTCTTGAAACAGTGTGAGCTGAATATATTTCTGGTTCTATCACCGCTTTGTGCTTGGACTTCCCACTTAACTCCCGCTGTTAAGTAGCTTCAGTATCTTGGATCAAAAGAATCTGCTTCATAAGGCAAAAGCGTAGGTTCATGGGTGTATGCGTGGACTGAATCCTTCCCCTCTTCTTTTAGCCCTGGTAGGGACAAAAGACTTGCGCCTGTGTTTTGTGTCACTTTTTCTCATGGCTAAAAGCAGTTCAGGGATATTGTATCAGGAAAACTGAGCTGGAGGGAGAAAGAGTTATAACCGTTCCAGCAGTACGGCCCCAGTCCACTTTGCCACTCCCCACCCCCTGCAACTGCTCCTTAATGCTAAAAAGCATGTCTGGTGATCTGATCCTCAAAATCTCCCTGTCAGCTCGCCCAGTAACTCTCAGATGCAATAAGTCCTTTAATCAGGCTTTATTTGGAAAGTCAGGAAAGTTGCTTTCAAGTTGAAACTCTTTGCCAGAACTAAGGGATATTACAAAGTGGGAAATTACAAGACCTTTGGTCCAGCCCTCATTCACACGTCATGGTTACATAGCAAGTAAACAGGTTAGGTAAAGGTAAAGGTTCCCTTGCTCGAAAGCCAGTCGAGTCCGACTCTAGGGTTGCGGTGCTCATCTCCGTTTCAAAGCCGAAGAGCCAGCGATGTCCAAAGACGTTTCCGTGGTCATGTGGCCGGCATGACTAGACGCCGAGGCGCACGGAACGCTGTTACCTTCCCACCGAAGTGGTACCTATTTATCTACTTGCAATTTCTTGCTTTCGAACTGCTAGGTTGGCAGGAGCTGGAACTAGTACCACAGTCCAATTAGAATGGTGAGAATGTTTATCAGTAGAGACTCTCTCGAGGCCATGAGAAATGTGAAAAGCGAAGTTTCTCTCTGGCCTAATGGAGGAGGCACCCTTATACAGTGTTACAAAGCACAGCGATCTACAGCAGGTGCTACATGGGAGCTGGGAACTATAAGCAGGCAGGAAACGCAGAGGCAACAATAATGCAATTCAGCAAAGCAAAGCTATGTACATCAGAGCCATATTTACAAGTATGGACTCAGGCAAGGGTCCAATTCTGACACTCCCACGCAGTGTGCAGCTGGACTCAGAGGAGAGTGGTGCCATCAGTCGTGTTCCGATAATCAAGGTTCAGAGGTTGGGTGGAGATTCCCACTCTGTTCTCATGACGTCACTGCCCTGGTCTGCAAGAACAAGGTGCACGAGGATGGGGGCACTGTATGCTTGGGTTGGATTCAGATGTGCCAAGGAGACTTGCAACCTTCTGGGGACAAGCATAAACATGTGCAGACTGTTTTCACTTGTAAAATACTCAGAAATGTGGGTCTGGTCAAATCCCCACCTGTGCTTGTATGTCTTTAAAATGAGGCAAGCCCTGTGTTCAAGGTCTGATTTTGGGAGAGAAGGCTGAGAGACACCCAAATCTCCCACCTTGGGGCTGAGAAGCTGCGGCCTGGACTCTGAGGCATGCAGACTGAAGCCTGCTTTCGTTTCATCAGCCACCTCCTGCATGCAAACTGGGAAGGCGCTAGCAGGGGAGGGGAAGAAAAAGAAGAAAAGCATTTAAAGCAACAGTTTGTTTGGCTTGCCTTCAAATATGTTGCTCCTTCTTCAGCAAGCCAAAGGTCAGGGAGGAATCTATAGGTCAGGAGGAGAAAAGCTGCTATTCTTTCCCACCCCCACCCCCCACTGCCTAGCCCCCAAATCCCCAAACATGAGTTGTAAATAAGCATCTGGACATTTCTTGACAGGCTCCAGAATGCAACAGAGGGGGGGAAACACACACACTTTCTTATTGGCGTGTGAAGCCTTTGAACCAATAAACTAATAAAAAAGAAGCTTCTAAGGAAGGGGACCGTTGCTACTTCTGTTGCGAAGATTTGCTGGCCAGCGCTCTCTCGGTTTCCCAAAGAGACGGCTCCCCCCTACTACTACTACTACTACTACTGCTGCTGCTGCTGCTGCTGCTGCTGCTGCTGCTGCTGCTGCTGCTGCTGCTGCTGCTGCTGCTGCTGCTTCTTCTTCTTCTTCTTCTTCTTCCTCTTCCTCTTCCTCTTCCTCTTCCTCTTCCTCTTCCTCTTCCTCTTTTCTTCTTCTTCTTCTTTCTTCTTCTTCTTCTTGACATTCCTTCTAGATTATAAGCCCCTCCACCTTTTGGGAACTCTCCTCCTGGCCCCCTTTTAGAGAACAGCAGTGCAGGATCGTTTTCTCGATCTTGCCTCCGCCCTGCTGTTGGTCCATTGGTGGCTCTTGAGTAAAAGAGTAAAATTCTTCCTGTGAATTTTGTGTTTTTGGTGCTGGGGTTGAAGGACCTTCAGTGTGAAGCTGTGTTCTGGCTTGGTTTGTTTTGATTAGGAAGTTCAGACATATACAAGATCACACCCTGATATTCCACATTCATTACTCTGAAATAACTCCTCTCTATGTAATACCAGTTGCTTGGGGGGGCATTGTGGGGAGGGCTGCTTTTTCCCTGCCCTGCTTGTGGGCTTACTGGGGCATTTGGTGGGCCATTGTGGGTAATTTATTATTAACCTATTATTTATTTATTGGCTTAAAAATAAATAGGACATGGCTTCCTGTCCTGAAAAACACAAAAGGCTTTACATCAGACAATAGCACTACAGATAAGATTAGAATTTCAACAACCTCCTCAGGAAGCAGGAAACCTCCTCAGGAAACAAAAGAACCTCCTCAGGAAGCAGGAAACCTCCTCAGGAAACAAAAGAACCTCCTCAGGAAAGCTTCTCCATTAGCATGTCCATAGCCTGAGGAACTCCTACAAGACAATGACTCAGCCCTAACCCACCTTCTGGAGTAGATATAAATTACCTGCCTACCATTTTCTTCTCACCTTGACACAGAGAGTATTCCGTCTTTCTGTGTTTATACCTCTGAGGATGCCAGTCACAGTTACTGGCGAAACGTCAGGTTCTACAATGCCAAGACCACGGCCGCACATCCCAGAAAATCTACAGTAACTAATCACAATAATAAACATTAAAATTGGTGGTTACGACTCAAAACAAAAATCAGCTGGCTGTGAGAGGTTCCTTGGCCCACTGGTAACAGATGAGTAATGACCAGTTGTCAGTGGGTGGGTGACAACAGCCTCAGGGAGGCCATACGCGGACACCCGCTGCCTCAGCCAAAGGCCTGGTGGAACAGCTCCGTCTTGCACGCTCTGATCTCAATAGGGAGCATGTTCCACCAGGCAGGGGCCAGGGCAGAAAAAGCCCTGTCCCTGCTCGAGGCGAGATGGATGTCCTTCGGGCCAGGGACCACCAGGAGATGTTGATGCATTACGCTCTGTGCCTGTCAGACTTCCCACAGCATCAGTGAAGTACACACTTGTAGAAAGGTTTTACTTTATTTGAAGCTATAGGTGCATGGACAAAGCCACTGTTCAGAATGCGGGGGGGAGCAACGAGCATGGCATGTTATAGTACATTCAAACTACTGAGGCCCAATTGGGGGGTTTCTCCCGCGCGCCTTTGGGCCTGGGAGCAAACGCTTCTAG